GTATATGCTTACCGTTCTTTGCATCCACTTAAAATAAACTCCGTTCTTGAATTGTGAATACATTCAAAGGCTGACGTTAATAGAACAATGTTCAAAAAAGAGCCTCTTTAGTACAGCTGTTCCCATCAAGTTTTAAGTAAAACCCGTAATTATTGATCCTCGACCATGGTAATTATGTCAAATCTTGCAGCATTAAAACATAGATGATAGCTACGGGAATGTACTTTTGTGAACGGTGATTATTATAATTGGCATATTTATGTATCCACCTCTCTTGAACTGAGTTCACTTGTGAATGCAAAGCAATGTAGCGTTTGTGTTTCATTTGAGATTATTACTCACGGAACTATCGCGTGTTATACAGAAACACTCAAGCTGTACAAGATGTACCAAATTGTTTGACGATATGGACACATCGTTTAAACCTTCTCCAATCAACATGTGATGCAGTATACGATCGCCCTACCTTCTCATTTCCTAGCCAAGCTTTGTCACATCAAGATTTATAGGAAATATTTTTTTCAACATCCGATGACTTCAGAATATTTCCATACATTGTGGTCTGATTCTCTCGTAGCGGCATGATGGAAGTCTGCACATTGAGGCTAAAGGATTACGGATAGTGGTCAAAGCATTGCGGGTTTTGACCAAGGGATTACGGGTTGAGGCTAAATGACTGCGGTTTGTGGCCAGTGCTTGATAGAAAAGAGGTGTGGACATCCCAATGAAGTTCGAATAGTGGATGAACTTGAAAACTCGTATGCGGTCAATGGGACAGTTTGAAACGATACTGGTATAACTTGATATGATATTCTAGTAAGTTGAACGGATATTGAAACAAATAGAATATAAAAGCCGAGAATATGTTTGGTGATGGACGAACCACTTTAATTATAAATTTTGAATATAAAAAGATAAGTACTATTGGTGTGGCCTCGTAGCTCAGCTGGTGGAGTGTGCGCTGAATAATAGCGTAGGCGGTATCTATGCATGGGTTCGAATCCCACCGTAGCCACTGAACTTTTCACAATTTCAATTTAATTAGAAATGTTAAAGTATGTCCACATTCTATACCGTGAGATTTGAACCACACTCTCAGTTATCGATCTGATGCGATTCCACTGTGTATCGATCGATTGAGCGGGCAATAATGTGGTCTCAGAAGCTATTTTTCACAAGAGCCAGAAGGTGATGCATTGACTGCTAGAATGATTTTCCCCACGAGTTACATACTCCAACCTACAGTTCCTCATCTATTACAAATGTGCATTCGGAATTGGTGGCTAATTGCAATCGCCCTCTGGGCGATGACATTTATACATCTTACTAGAATCTAAGCAACAAGCAAAAGCGCTTGATTATACTGGGTTGATTTAATTAACCAAATGGGTAATAACGTTCATCCCGTTGGAATCGTGCAGCGGTTTCACCACCCACCATCCCCTCATCCTGGAGAGTCATGCTCGACTGGTGTAATACGTGCAAACGAGAATTATCCGGAAAACGTTCTTCTCTCTTGTTACATTCACAAAAAAGTTTCGGGTGGATCAAGAATACTTCTATATAGGCCCTGGACGGAGTATACACAATATCGCACTAACTCAACTAATGCACGGCAATCAGTGAACAAACCGGGTTGTTCTAGTTCATGGAGTCTCTCAACTGGATAATCCAGATGAAGCCCCATTCAAAAAAAAAAAGATGATTTCGAAGAATGGAGTTTCATTCGACAAATAATTAATTGAACACAGGTTTTTACTACGGCAATTAGTCGTCTATCCAGCTCACTGAACTACCATGGCAACGTCCCGAGGATAGTGGAAAGGACCCTCGGAACGCCAGAAATCGTCCACTGTCTATTTCAGTCAGGGAAGGAGAATAGAAATAGGGGACCGCCGGAATTACGCCTAAGACTAGAACATAATCCTCGATCCCAGCAAATTCGTAAAATGGAAACCGATTCTGACATGACATCGTCCTCGACTAGTGCGGTTTTCAACACTCCACATTCATCAAGCAGCACCGACGAAGCCAATTGTACAAAAACAAAATCAACTATGCCAACCGCAAGTTGATCAGCAGAAGGAACACCACATACCCGGATAGATTACTGTGCCGCATATATCATTCATGTTTTCATACCTTAACACATTCTCCGAAATGGAAAACCGTTGGAAAACTAATCGATGAGACATTGTTGCTGTTACTAAAAACTGGTTGAGTATCAATATTCTCGACTCGGGATCGAGTCTATCAGGAATGTCGCTGCTTAGACGTGATCGTCCGACACGAGATGGTGAAGTGATGCGTTATCGACGAAACGATCTACATTGTGAACAGCTTGATATTCCCGACGCAGCAACCGTTTTTTATCTGGTTTTCACTAAGACTGTCCAAAAACGATCGGTGTCTAATCGGTGTCATGTACCGACCTTCCGCAGCTTTGGGCTCAGCCAACGTGATTCTGTTGCAAACCATGAGCAATGCACTATCATTGTAATTCAGCCATGTCCTCATAATGGGTGACTTTAATTGTCCCAGTCTTGTTACAATGAAAATTTCCCGCCAGCTATTCGAGAGACAATTATCTCGATTCATTAACCTACACCCACCTACAACCCACAACCACGTAGCAGAACCCACGAGATTTGGAGCAGGCCACGTACCATCAACACTGGATTTTCAGTGCTGACAAACGAGGAGCTGATGATGAAATCTGTCAATGTCACGTCTCCACTAGGACCTAGTGATCATGCCATACTGGATTTTGATTATATAGGCTACGCCTCTACACTCTACTTGGAATAATTATACCTTACTGCGAAATCAGTGCACCACGTTTGTACGAGAGGAACAACTGATGTAACAAGAAACCCTGGCTAAATAATTCATTTCTAATCCAAAATTGTTTCATAAACATAATAACTCTAAAAGAAAGATTAAATGATTAACATTAGTATTGGCATAGTTTGGATATGTTTCAACTACTACGCTACCAGCCGAACAGTTCCTCAAATAACAGCTGGATCAGGTGTTTAATGGAACGACACATACATCCGTCACTGGTTAATATGTCTTTTAACGGTGAAATAGTGAAATCGAAACTACTGACTTTGCGTAAAAACTCATCCCAGATGCAGACAACACGCATCCCCGGACTCTGATCTTGCTAGCCGTTGAGATATCTGACCCTCTGGCTGTTTTTTTACCAAAGTGGTAATCCTGCAGTTAAGGAAGGAAAGGGTGATTTCGCCCATTTAAAGAGGAGGCTCTCGCAGTGGTCACGCCAACTAACGTCGTATTGCACTTCTCCCGATACTGTTGAAAGTCATGGGGGCTATTGTGGCAGATCTGTTGATGGAGTATCTGAAGAAGCATTAGCTTTTGTTCCAACCTAACAGGGATTTCGGTACAAACATTTATGCACCAATCTACTTCTTGCACGGGATGGGTGGACAAGGTCCGTCAATGAAGGCGAGCCACTGGACACGGTTTATTTGGACTTCTCCAAAGCATTTGATTGAGTACCTTTCCAAATTCTACTGCGAAAACTCCACAACTATGGAGCAAGAGGTTTGGTTCTCGACTAGATCGAGGAGTTTCTCGGAAAAAGAACCATGTCAGTTTGTGTTGGTGATTAATTAGCAGAGTTTGTCACCGCTGTCCGAGGGGTTCCGCAAGGATCTGTGCTGAGGTCTCGTCAGTTCCTTGCATGTACAAACGATTTGCCAGATGTCATTGGGCCTAATGCACAATTTTTGCATATGACGCTAAGATCTGGAGAACTGCAACACATCTAGAGGATTATATAAAACTCCGACAAACGATCAATACAGCCCGCTGATGGTCAATCACCAGTGCCATCGAATTCAACGTTTCCAAATGCAAAGTTATTTCCATGCTGCACAAAAACCGTCTCTTCCATATTCTGGGGAAAAGATATTACCGCATGCCACTGACCAGAGAGATGTGGGAGTTATGATATAGGAGGAGGTAGGATGTTCCATGCGCTGTGCCTGAGCATCATTCGTGGCTCTAAAGCAAGTTAGACTATCCAGACGTGTATTTAGGCATTTCGAAAAAACGCTGTTCCCACACTTCCTGTCAGCGTTCATTCGGCCACCCACGGAGTAAGCCGCTCAAGTATGGAATTTATGGTTGAACCTCGACAAGAGGGCTATAGAAACAAGGAAAAGTTTAGCGACAAAATTGATAAAGGGTCTGCATGACAAAACATACTCCGAAAACTGAAAATATTTGAGCTTTGGTCGTCCTAATACCGTCTATTTCGGGGGCCGTAGTCTTGATATACCACACACTGCATTAACCCTGTCATCCGTACCGTTCGGTGCTGACATTATCTCAAAATTATCACTTCAGGAGATTTCCACTAAAGTTGAAGACCCAGAACAGTCACCGTAACTGCGGTAATCAATCGTTTGCAGTCAGAGTGTGCGGTGCATGAAATTCTCTTCCATCCGATGTAGTGTGTGCTCCTACAGTTGAACTATTTAAATCGCTACTTGGTTAAACATTGGCACACTTAAAATTTCAACATCCGTGAGTGATCATGCATATTTTTATTATTATTATTTTCTGTTTGTAAAATTATCTAAAAGATTCTGTAAAAATCCTGCATGGCATGATAAGCGTTAAATTTGATAAATCGCCCATAATAAAACGTTGACTTTGACTTTACCACAAGAAGAAGTAGGATAACAGAAACATACAAAATGCGGAACACAACGTTCTGTCACCCAAAATGTTCACAAGTTCATGGCTCTATCTGTGGCACTTGTGGTCACTTTGTGCGCGCGCGCACGCGAGTCATGCATCGGGTGCTCTCAGATGGCCGAACGGGATCAGTGGGATACAGGACACATGGAATACATCAAACCGTAACAGTAGTACAGAACCGGTGCGTAAATTTACACGAAAGGTCGTTGTGCAATCATACGTGTACAAAAAAACAGCACGTTGTATTTGTGTGTGTGTGTGATTTATTGATTCACGTAATCGGATTTTCGCAGTGATTTCTTGATTCGGGGTAACCGGAATGTGTTCAACACTGACCAGACTGAGATGACCATTTGTGAAACATACTCTTGCAGTGGTGGCACAGTGGCAATTTCCAGCGCCGGATTCAATCCAGATGCCATGGCACATACCAATGTATAGTACAGTCTGGCGATCGAGTCCACTTGAAAATTTACTCGATTTAATCCTTGTAACAAGTACATGATGAACGCGGTTAATTCAAGCACGGTCAATTCGGCCGTGAAACCGAATGTGCTTACAGACAATGCGTGCCACACTGCCGAGTACGGATTACTCGATACGGAACTGGGTGGTCCACGGGATGAATCGGAATTTTCCGGACAGTTTCGGGTTTGTGAATTGTACTCGTTGCGTAATCGACGCAATTTTCGCATTACGACAATGTGCAAACCGACCGTGACAAAGATCGGGATCAGGAGACGCATGGACATGTCTATCAGATGAAGTGCAAACAGTTGTACGGCCAGATTAGTCATCACACAGATCTGATCGCAGTATCGTACCTCGAATGCCCGAGGCAAACTGCTCATTAAGGAAAAACTGAATGTGAACACATAGCATATGACAAGGTACATTTTAGTTCGTCTTTTATACGAATATGGATAGACAATGGCCCAGAATCGATTCATGGACTGACAGACAATATTGCCCAGAGCCAACACACGTACCCAGCGTAAAAAGAAACCACTCTGGACCAGATGGCAGAACACGGCGTTCGTTTTGGTCCACATGTCCGGTTGCAAACTGCTCCACGCGAGCTGAAAAATGGCCATGACACAGACGATCACATCAAATACGCACTGGTTGTAGAAAATGGTTTTTGACAAAACCGAATTGATCACGGTCTGAGTGAGTGCATAAATGGTAAACACGTTGAACAAGATCCCCCCGGTTAGGACGGTGAATGCGATACCCATCTCGTAGGAGGCCAATATCGGATAGTGCAGTGGTCGTAGATGTTCCGCTGAAATGTTACACATTTCACGGATGTAGATCACCGGTCGGGGCAACTGTAGATCATACAATACTGGATCTAGACGATCGAAGAGAGCCACATACACATGATTGATAAAGGCGAAAAAAAAACAAAAGATGAGGGAAAATATTGACCACGTACGAACCGATGGCTTTGATTCGAATATGCTCGCGTGCTACATAGAGTAGGAGAGAAGGAGAATTTTATGTGTAACCCAGTAAAAATGCAATTTATTATCGGGATTAGTGGAGAACAGACAGTATCAGTTTCCGGGGCCCCGATTGGCGTAGAGTAGCATAGATACGCGTGCCCGATTGTGCGCACGTGTAGGTGTGCTTTAGTGCGTCCGTGTGGCGTGAAAGTCGGTTATCAGAACACGGCATGACGTGATTTGTGTTTGATGATGTATGATTTGCAAACATCGGATTCCAGGAGAGGCTTGGAGCAAGGGAGGGGACGGAGGAGGTCTCATTC